ATTATGGCTTAGCAGCTCTATGTTTCTGCAAGAATGCCATAGTGACTGTTTCACCTCCTGAATAACTGTAGAGGAATCTGTGAAATTATTGTCTATATAAGGACAGTGATCAGAATTAAACTACTATATTGGTGCTGGTTACTCCCTAGTAGACATGTGCACTGCCAAAAAATTAGTTTCGTTTCATTTTAAATTTGGATTTGTGTTATTTCGTTTTTCGGGATACGGGTGTGAAAGTCAATTCGGATTCGGAATTCGGATTCGGACGAAATTTGTAGCGGTAGTTCGAACGTTTGTTTCGTTTTCTTTTCTTATTCGTTTCGTTCGTTCGTTTGCAGCAAAGTGACATTTGAAATGTTTTTCTCCTTCTCTAATGTCACTTTGCTGCAACAAACGAATAAGGAACGAATAAGAAACTAAAACGAAACGAACGTTCGAACTACCGCTACCGAATTTCGGAAATGGAAATTCGGATTCGTTTGCATTCGTTATGTCTGTAATTCGGAATTCGGATACATCCGAATGTCCGAATTTCCAAAAATTCGTCCGAATTTCGATTCGGAACGAAACGATTCGCACTCCCTAGTTCCTACTACATAGATGCCACAATTCAGCTATATTTTATATCAGTGCTGATCAACTCACTTATTATAGGGTGCCTAGCACCAAAGGGCTGCACATAATATCAGTGACTATAATGTTACAGAACACTGTCAGAGACTGTGGACATACTATAGTAGATAATCAGAGATGGTGGGCATGCTACAGTAGATGGTCTCAGACATGCTACAATAGCTGGTCAACATTGCAGGCATGTTACAGAAGATGATTGCAGACTGCAGACATGCTTCAATACCTGGTCAGAGACTGCAGGCATGTTGTAGGAGATGGTCAGAGGCAGTGGACAAGCTAAGAATATATTTGATAGTCCTCTCAGTAAGATCTATAAAAGTTCAAAAGACAATGCAAAACATTTTTTGTTACAGAAAATGTAAGACAATGTAAAATAAATATACCAAACCATTTAATTAGCAGAAGCCAGTTTTTAATATATTCCTTCTCTGGATTCGAGTAAGTACCTATGCAAGGAAATAGCTGATGAGGGCCACACAATAAAAGTACCAAAGGGCTTCATAAGGACCTCAGGCCACAGGTTATACACCAGGATCTTATACTAGCAGGGGTCTAAATGCTATATGGATAAATATTTGAGATTCTGATAAACAGAAGCAGCTTGCACTGTAAAGTTGGGACATACAGTATAGGAACAATGTGGAAAAATACAATTTCTCTTTTTTTCCAAGTGAAATATGTGGCACTGAGGGTCCTGATCAGGACAGTATTTGCAAGGAGTTTGCATGTTCTCCCTGTGCTTTTGTGGGTTTCCTCAAGGTACTCCAGTTACACTCCAAATACATGCTGGTATTTAATTGGCTCCTGTCAAAATTGTCTCTCTATGTACAAACTAGGGACCTTAGATTGTAAGCTCTTGAGGGCAGACAATTGTGTAAAGCGTTGTGTAAATTGTTGGCGCTATATAAATACCTGTAAGAAATAAATATGTAAATGCTCCTTAAGAAGATAACATCATGTTTCAATGCACTGAAAAAGGCTCTCCCACCCTTTCATTGCAGCCCTTGTTTGTAAAAACATAATTTCCTGGGGGGCAATTGCCCCTTTGACCTCTCTGCCAGCATACCCATGAAGCCCGGATACAGAAAATGGATTGTGAAAGACAGAGGACCTGATCATCTAGCTGTTGGAACAGAGCTAATAAGCATGTCATGGAACAATTCAGGCTTAAATAATTACTAAAATGATACAAAAGACTGCTTAAAAGAGGTCTCTGTTGTTAGAGATGTTTATTTATTGAGCCAGGTTTGTGGTCAGGGGTGTGTAACATACATTCACAGACATATGGCAGGGTGTTTGGACAGATTTAGGTGAGTTATTCCTAGGATTTACTAAGAACTACAGGCCTACAATGTAAAACAACATATTTGCTTGAAAAACAATGTACCACTTTTGGTACCTAAAATCCTGAATAATCATACCGCCAGGGAGGTTAAAACAGTGGGATACTCTTAAATTCATATGAGGGTGGGTGTCATTTGGCAATAATCCATAATAATTTTTGGTAAGCTTCAGTATTATACATATCATTACAATATGTATTTAATTACATACATTATATGTCTGAATTATTTTCTGTGTGTTAAGTTATTTTATTCTACAATGAATAGTTCCATTGGAAGCCACTTGAGTCTAGTACTTATTTTTGCTGTGGAATATACACTGCTCAATATTGATCAGGTCAGTTAAGTAGCAGAGGGGGTTGTTAAACAGTTTCAGCTGCTTTGGTGTTAATTAAATTGCCAACAGGTGCACTAGATGGGCAACAATGAGACAACCTCCAAAACAGGAATGGTTTTACAGGTGGAGGCCACTGAAATTTTTTCCCTACTCGTCTTTTCTGACTGTTTTTCACTAGTTTTGCATTTGGCCAGAGTCACTGTCACTACTGGTAGCATGAGGCGATACCTGGACCCTATAGAGGTTGCACAGACATGCCAACTCCTCCACGGTAGCACATCAATACATGCCATTGACAGAAGGTTTGCTGTGTCTCCCAGCACAGTCTCAAGAGCATGGAGAAGATTCCAGGACACAGGCAGTTACTCTAGGAGAGCTGGTCAGGGCCATAGAAGGTCCTTAACCCATCAGCAGGACCGGTATATTCTCCTTTGTGCAAGGAGTAACAGGATGAGCACAGAGCTCTACAAAATGATCTCCAGCAGGCCACTGGTGTGAATGTCTCTGACCAAACAATCAGAAACAGACTTCATGAGGGTGGCCTGAGGGCCTGACGTCCTCTAGTGGGCCCTGTGCTTACTGCCCGGCACCATGGAGGTCGATTGGCATTTGCCATTGAAAACCATATGTCGTGGGACCAGCGATGCCCTCTTACCTGGGGTCCGGCGGGCGCGACGGAGATCGTAGGTTCCTTCCTGGGGTGAATTGGTGCCCAGCGGCGGGCTGCAGGTGTGCACATGAGCGCATGCATAACATGTGTGCGCGCGCATGTGGCACTGCCGTGGCTTTTTAGTCGCTTTGGGTGGTCATCATTGCTGGTGAGGGCCTTGCGAGCACTCCTTCTCTCCCAGCCGTCCCATTGGTTCGCAGGGACCTGTGGCTTCCTGGTTGCCCAGACAAGGGGGGTCTCGCTGGACTATACTCTGACAACGCATTTTGGATCATCCTATCTTGTACCTCAGCCTGAACTCTGCTTCTGGTATTGTTCCCTGCTATTGGGGTCCAATCCAGCAAACGGGGACTTCGCTCCTTCCCTAACACCAGAATTGGCCGGTCCGCCACTGGCGCCCTGTGCGTTTCACAGATGAGAGCAGGTTCACCCTGAGCACATGTAACAGACGTGAAAGGGTCTGGAGAAGCCGTGGAGAACATTATGCTGCCTGTAACATCGTTCAGCATGACCGGTTTGGTGGTGGGTCAATGATAGTCTGGGGAGGCATATCTGTGGAGGGACGCACAGACCTCTACAGGCTAGCCAAAAGCACCCTGACTGCTTTTAGATATCGTAATGAAATCCTTGGACCCATTGTAAGACCCCAAGCTGGTGCAGTGGGTCCTCGGTTCCTCCTGGTGCAGGACAATGCCCGGCCTCATGTGGCGAGAGAATGCAGCCAGTTCCTTGAGGATGAAGGAATTGATACCATTGAATGGCCGTCATGCTCGCCTGACCTGAATCCAATAGCACAACTCTGGGACATTATGTCTCGGTCCATTCGACACCGTCAGTCTATTCAGGAGCTCAGTGATGCCCTGGTCCAGATCTGGGAGGAGATACCCCAGGGCACCATCCGTCATCTCATTAGGAGCATGCCCCGACGTTGTCAGGCATCCATACAAGCACGTGGGGGCCATACAAACTAATGAGTACCATTTTGAGTTGCTGCAATTAAATTTCAGAACAATGGATTAGCCTGCTGCATCATTTGTTCACTTTGATTTTTGGGGTGTCTTTGAATTCAGCCCTCTGTAGGTTGATAATGTTTCATTTCCATCAAATGATGTGACATCCTTATGTTCCTAACACATTACCCAGTCCAGTATACAGTAGATATCCAGCATTATATTTATATATATATATTCACATATATATGTATGTGTATATATATATACCTTTGTCACATGCTGAACACTGTATCATGTACACCACGTTAGCAGATGTGCATAAGTATGACCCCTTAATGGTGTACGCTTTGTTATTGTGACTCGCTGTATTTCTGTCACATATATGTTGGCAAAGTTTGCTTCTCTTTTGCCACAAGATGTCCACAGTCTGAGGATATACTTTAAATGAATGGGCATCATGGCCCTGCCCCCTTAGACTGCCCCAGGTCAGAGAAAAGGCAGGGGAGGAAGAAGGTATGTATATAAAAAAGGAAAACATACATGGGGAGGGGGTGCTGAACCTGAAGTTGGGCTTTACACTGATCACAATCCCTATATATCAATATACTGTATATATAAAATAATAATTATATTAAAGTAAGAGCTCTGTTTACCTTTAAATATAAAGATTTATAGGAATACGTATACACACACGCACACACATTACACTATATTACACTGTATTTGCAAATAGGTGCAGTATTACTGCTCTCAATGTAAGCATGGGATTGATGTGTACTTGCATATCTCATGTCTCATGTCATTGCATGCAATATTATAGCTTTGCATATAGCATGTATATAACGTGTACTGGCAGACCCACATATGCACACACATGTGGTTCCCTAATCTCGCGTCATTTTCCATCCTATGTGTTCCTTCACTTTTTCTTTATATCTCTTTCTCTATCCGTTTCTCTCTCCCTCCCTCCCTCTCCCCCTCCATCCACAACACAGTAGCCCTACCCCCCTCCATCCTTTCTCTACAGAAGCTATGACATCTGATTCATTCAATCCCTCCCTCTCCCTTGCCTCTCTGCCGGGTTCATAAGCAGCTCTGTCTGGACATTTAAAAGCTTATTCTTTTATTTTTTATTATTTTGCAAATGTTGATGATGAAACACAGTGACTGTAGGATGCATCGCTTTGTATGCCATATGTTCTCTTCTTAACCACAGGCCTTTCTTTCTACATGCAAAAGGTATGTTTCCTTTTATTATTCCAGCCATTTGATCAAAATGAGCCAGTCTTTTCTCGCATTTGTAGGGTTTCTATTCTATTATTCACAATAATGATTATCAATTCCTCCGTCAGGTTCCTTGAGCCTGCAGTCTTGGGTCCTAAATATACATAGATACAGGTTGATGTTATTGACATCTTGCATTACCAAGCAGACCTGCTTTTGTGTGAGTATGTTCGTTCATGTATTATTGATGAAAAAACAATAGGGTTTATTCGGGATTAGGCATTCGCCACATTGTCTCCTCCTGCTTGTCCTACCATGTTTTGCTGTCAAACATGTTATTAATTATACTACAGTGACCAGTGTTCCTGGGCACAGTATAGCAATGCGTCTTTTGTTATTGAATAGCCAGAGTATGATAAATACTTCAAAGTAATAGCACCATTTTAGCTTCAGTCTTAATTGGGACAGCTGACATTTAAAAAACAAACCGGCACAACTTGAAAGTATATTTTACACTAACAATGGATCATATTGGCTTTGGTATTTAATAAAATTTATATTTGACATTAACTTTATTAGTTGCTAAACAGAGAGAGATCATTGATTTGTAAATAAGGGAGAGAGATAGAGAGGTATGAGAGAGATCAATGCCCTTTAAATGGTAGAGAGGAGAGAGAGATCACTGCCCATTAAACAGAAGAGCAGATAAGGACAGATAAATCAACAGAGATCACTGCCCAGTAAAGAGTAGAATGACAAGTAGGAGAGAAAGAGATTACTGCCTAGAAAACGGTAATAATATATAGAGAGGAGATAAGTATTCAGTAATAAAAGAGAAAGATCACTGGTCCTTAAACAGTAGGGAGAGAGATCACTGCTAAGTAAACAGAGAGCAAGAGAAAGATCACTGCTCAGAATTCAGTAGAGAAGGAAAGGAAGATAGAGAGAGTCTGGACAGGAAAGGGACATAATGTTTGAGAATTGTAATACTCATTCATAAATATATAAAACAAGTAGTGCTAGTTGGTAAACAGTTGATGTAGTTTCAGTTTATTCAGAAAACCATCATATATTAAATATACTAAAAACTGCATAACAAAAACATACATTTAGTATATATCTTGCCTTAAAATAGATTAGATCAACATTTTGTATATTGTTATTTATGTGTGTGCAAGACACATGTTATATGGTCATTATTCTATGCTCAGAAGAAGATAAGCAAACTTTTGCATCATAGTGTATATGGAAACTGAGTGAGAGTGCAGAACATGTTGCATGGCTAAAGTGATGGGTGCCTTAAAGTGTTATCATTACAGGATAACTGATCTACGTAATATTAATTCAATTAGTCTGGAGAGGGAGGGGGCACAGCTGGCCTGGGACCCCACATGTATCAAAGGATGCTTAAATTGCTGCATTTAATCTTATTTGGTTAATTCTGCCTGGGTGGTTTTACACCAATATATCATTCAAAGCTAGTAACAGAATTATTTATGAAACCTAAATAATGTGGATTTAGTTTTTTTACTCTTGGTAGGAGGGGGAGAGTCAGTTAACTGCATTTTGCTTTACAATACAATACATATTTGAATATGATTCTAAAACAAAAACACATACACATACAGGAGAAGAAGCTGGGGAAGCCTGCTTCCTCAGCTTCTTTGGGGTCCCCAGGTAACATTAGGGGTCTGAAAGACCCCTGATGTCTTCATAAAGAGGACCTGTAACATTATAGTTGCTATTACATAGGGGGCTTCTTAAATTTCTTAAGTCCCTCGCCCCCCACGTTCACGCACATATAACGCAAACACACGCTGGGTGCACCTACGTGCAAAATAGGAAATTGCGCCACACATGTTACATATCATTGTGAACGTCGGAGTGAGAGCAATAATACTACAGCCATCAATGACCAGTAACACTAATGATGAGCAGTAAAAGCTTTTAAAGCCTCACCTATGGGAAATTCTGGGTATTGTAGTTTTTTGCGGTTTCTCTTACGCACGCAGTTTTAAGGCTTGACATGTTTGGTATCTATTTCCCTGACTTGACCCCGTCTTTTATATTTTACCAAACAATTGGGTATTATATTCTGTTTCTGTGCACTAAATTTCATTTAAGTGTATTTTATCCTAAAATTACTAGTTTGATAAACATTGGCGCAAATACTGTGCGACATAAATGTGGGGGTCTGAAGCTGTTTTCTAGCCAAAAATTCAGATTTTATTGTGTGTGCAAATAGGTAAGCAATTGCTCTGGCCAGGAAGTGGTTAAGGAAGCCGGGCGACTTTGTTAACCTGTGAGCACAGAGCTAGCTCTATGGCACTGGTTCTACAGCTGTTTTCCAATCACTGCTTTGCTACATAGTAATTCACTGACCTGGAAGAAGTATGTAGTACAGGAGTCCTGGCTTTTCAGATATCACTCACTGTACACATGTTCTAGGTTTGTGACATAATAGGCAGTAATGACAGGATCAGAATGACAACTCAGGAGGCTAAACCTTTAAAAAGTAGTCGGCAATGGCAGCTCCCAAATTTCTATCCTTACACAGAGGTGTAGCAAGGTCACAAGGCGCATAGGGGAAAATCTTTCATTAGCGCCCCCCACCCCCACAAACCAAACCGTAATTCAATCGTGATAAACACGATTAATGCAGTCTGGAGGATGGAGGACCACAGACTGAAGGAAGGGGGATCTGGTAACCTCCAATGTCGGCGGTCAACAGGGCCCCCTAAGTGGTGAAATACTAGGGCCCCGTCACAGCTGCAACTGCTTTGACTCTGGTAGTTCTGCCACTGTATAGAGGACTACAAATCCCAGCAATACATTATACAGCAATGCAGAATAATACCACCAGCTATAGAGGAATACAAATTTCAGCAATACATTATACACCAATGCAGAATACCATCATCTATAAAGGACTACAAATCCCAGCAATACATTATACAGCTATGTGGAACACCATCATCTAGAGAGGACTACAAATCTCACCAATACATTAAACAGCAATGCAGAATACCATAATCTATAGAGGACTGGTGCTGGGTCCCGTACCCTCGTCCACGGTGCCAGGGAGCTCTGGGCCAGTTCCTGGGCACACTGGTAGCACATGGCCCACACCTGCTCCTCATTGATGGGCTGCTCCAAGTTTTCATGAAAATGTCCCCACATGTCACTGCAAAAATTGCCCTTTTGCCACCCATCCCCCCTGGATCTGCCACTGACCTGACCTTTAATCCCAGCTATGGGGTACAGAGCTCACCTGACCTTCAATCCCAGCTATGGGGTACAGACCTCATTTGACTTTTCATCTCAGTTATGGGGTACAGACCTCACCTGACCACCCATCCCAACTATGGAGTACAGAGCTCACTTGACTTCTCATCCTGGCTTCTCTTCTGATCTCTCCCCCTACGATCCTCCCGACACGAGCCTTTGGACAGCTCTCTACTTGTCACTGTGTCCACGTCTCTTTTCTCCCCCCACCCCCTATGTGAGACCAGCGCCCAGGGATGGATGTACTCTCTCTGCTGTCCCAAGGCCAGGTTCCTCTATGCGCTCCCCTCCAATCCCCCCCACCCCCAGTGGAGAATGGCAACCAGATGGTGGGGGCGGCAGGTTTTTTTACATTTTGATTTATCGTATAATTTTTACTTTTTTATCACCTTTTTATTTTAATTATTTTTTTTAACTTTCTTAAATATTTTTTATTTATTTTATCATTTTTTAAATTAATTTGTATTTTATTGTTTTATTTTTTTCACTTAACTTTATTGCTCTCACACAGGAGCTAACAAGCCCCTGTGTGATAGCATTTGGAGGTGACAGGTTCTCTTTATTGAACCTCTCACCTCCAATACAGGAGTTCTAGCACAGCACTGTTCTGGCTCTCCTGAGACAGCTGAGAGAGAAAGGCTGCTAGTGCAGCTCTCGCCTCTCACTGTTTACACAGAGCAGAGCGGAGAATCGACGTTCTCCGCTCTGCTCCCTGCTCTGAAGAGAGGATCTCCGGCCGGCGGGGAGAGAGGTAGCCGGCGGGGGAAAGGGGGGATGCCGACGGCGGCAAAGGAGGACAAAAGAGAAGACTGCATACAAGATAATTTGTATGCAGCCGCACTTGTAAACGAACAAACGGCTTGTGGAAAACCCGGCCCTGCCGACACCTCCTTCAGACCGGCGCCTGGGTGCAAGTGCCCCCCCTTGCTAACATGTTCTCTATGCTGCAAGGACTGCATCAGTTGACAAATAATTAAACATGCTGAAAAATATTGGCTTGACATTGAATTGAAAGTGCCAGATTAAATGTCACCACACCTACAGCACCATCCTGAGTAAAAAAGCATATCCCTTGCCAGCATGCTGCAGAGAAGGAGCTTGTTTCTTTGTGTGAATGCAGTGGTCTCTGTACAGAGGTCCAACCCACCCTGTCTCCCAAAACAGTTACTTTTAAGGCATATCAACTGTCACGGTTGGCAGTCTGCCCATTTCAACTCTCAAGCGAACATTCATGCCCTCAAATGGCTGGTGTCATAGCTGATCACATGTGCAGCACCATGGCAACTGCACTCCAAATAGAGGCTAAGATGGCGCCTTCCTTGACTGTGAGGGATAAGAGGTTGTAGTTCCGCTTAGGTCAGAGCTAGAGCTCTCCTATCAGCAGGGAGCATTAGCTTAGCTGATTGCAGAGCTGTAGGTCTAAAGGTGCCCATACACCTTACGATTATCGGACAAAACTTTTCGTCCGATGATCGAATAGTCGTCCGATTTTTGTACGACGGCCCCATCCTGCCCCGATTATCGAACGGTACAATCAGCGGTAGTTAAAAAAAAACACCTGGACTACTTGCGGTAATTGACCGCAATTATTTTTGTTTGCTCATGCGCAACCAACCATGCGAACGCCACCAACCATGCGAACATTGTACGATCGACCAAAGTTTTCAAACATGCTTGACCGTCAAAAGTCGTACGATTGTACAGTACTATCGGTTGGGCACTCTATTCAC